GCACGTGTCATCAGGCCCCACTTAGGGGAGGCCCTGAGCTAGGTGCTTTCTCGGGTGACCGTCACAGATGAGGACGAGGACGAGGCCGTCCCACGCTAGTAATCGGGTAGGCGTGCGTAATTGGTCAGGGCGTTCCCACCCTTCTCCTGGCTCTTCACTCTGCAGAGGGGCCCGCCGACCCTGAGCCTCAGACATCGCCTCTGCTCAGCGCCCCGGCTCCACTGTGCCTGACCTTCCAGGAGAAGCTGCTGGCATTCGAGCGGGACCACGTGACCATCCCCGCAGCCCACGTGGCCTTGGCCAAGCAGCTGGCCAGCGACATCGCCTTGGAGCTGCAGGCCTACCTGCGCAGCAAGTTTCCAGAACTGCCCTTCGGGGCGCTGGTGCCCGGCGGGCCGCTCTACGATGGGCTGCAGGCGGGCGCTGCCGACCACGTGCGGCTCCTGGTCCCACTGGTGCTGGAGCCTGGCCTGTGGAGTCTGGTGCCCGGCGTGGACACGGTGGCCAGGGACCCGCGCTGCTGGGCAGTGCGCAGGACTCAGCTGGAGTTCTGTCCCCGGGGGAGCAGCCCCTGGGACCGCTTCCTGGTGGGGGGCTACCTCTCCTCCCGCGTCCTGCTGGAGCTGCTCCGCAAGGCTCTGGTCGTCTCCGTCTACTGGCCGGCCATCGGCGGCCTCCTCGGGTGCCTGATCCGGCCCAGCGTGGCCTCGGAGGAGCTGCTGCTCGAGGTGCAGCACGAGCGCCTGGAGCTCACCGTGGCCGTGCTCGTGGTGGTCACGGGGGGGGGGGCCTCCTGCTGGCCTGGCCCCTGGAGGGGCTGGCGGGGAACCTCTGGCTACAGGACCTGTATCCGGCGGAGGCTGCCCGGCTGCGGGCGCTGGATGACGGTGACGCCGGGACCCGCCGGCGGGCGGCGGCGGTGCCGGGTGGGGAAAAAAAAGTGGCGTCTGCTGCAGCCACCCAGTCCTGGGGCGGCTGGGCTGGGGCCCCCTGACCCAGGTGGTGTTACGCCTGGGCGAAGAGGACGTGGACTGGGCCGAGGAGGCCCTGGGGGAGCGCTTCTTGCAGGCCCTGGAGCTGCTGGTTGGCAGCCTGGAGCAGGCCAGCCTGCCCTGCCACTTCAACCCCCGAGTGAACCTCCTGGGTGGCTGGCGGGAGGAGGAGATTGAGGAGGCCGGCTACGCCCTGTACTCCGCGCTGCAGGCCCCCGAGGAGCTGCTCCAGCCAACCGGGGAAGGCGGGGTCCTTGTGTCTGCTGATCCCGGGAAGCTGCGCACGCCCACCGTCCTGGGCTTCGGACAGCGGTTTTTCTCTTGCTTTTAGCCAGAGCAGAAAGTTACATGCTGAAGCCCACGGGTCGGCACATGCCTGGGCTGAGGTCACTGGTCCCCAGCCAGGAGAGCTCGCTGGGACCTGAGCACACCTGGGCACGTGGAGTGCCAGCTGCTCCCACAGGTGCCACCTCGCCCCTTGGGCCACCGCAGGACCATGGGCTCAGGTCCATTGTCACCAGCAATGAATTCACTGGTGGAACGAGGCTTCTGCTGTCCAGGGCTGGGGGGAGGGCCACCCCCATTTTCTGCCAAGAGGGGAATCTCACGTTTCCCCAGGTGCCAGCTCCAGGCATCATGCCCAGCTGGTGCCTCCTGCTAAGTGTCACGTGGTTGTTCAGCCTGGGGGCACCCGGCGTCCCTGGAGGACAGTTTGGCTGTAAGGGGAGTGTCTCCCCAGCGTCGTGAGTGCTTGGTCTGCTTGTGAAGCTCTGGAGCAGGAGCGGTCTGCCCGCCCGATACCTCAGGGGAAGCCCCGTTCCCTTCCTCGAGGGGAGCCTGGTTCAGGCTCCCACCTTGCCCCTGGAGGACAGAGGACATGCCCTCCCAGAGAGGCCTGGGGCCGCCCTGGCCTCAACAGCGTGCCAAATGAGCTGCCCAGCCGATGTCAGTGCTCTGTGAAGCCTGGCCAGGGCCGCAGGAGCTGGAGGGGGAGCCCCTGCCCTTGGTGCCCTTCCTGCCGAAACAAAGCTATGCCTTGAAAAATGCCCACAGGAGTAATAAAACCCTGATGTCCGTGTGACTCCTGCTGGCTTCCTACACAGCAGTTTGGTGGTTTTGAGTTTGGGAACTTCTGTGGCTTGGCCTGGCCATCAGGCAGTAGGGAACCAGATCAACTGGGAGGTGGCAGAGTTTATTTTATTTATTTAATTCTACTTTATTTACTTATCTGGTTTTTTTTTTGTTGTTGTTTTAAATTTGACCAGAGAGTGACAGTGAGAGAGAGAGAGTGAGAGAAGTAAAGTGAGAATGCAAGCTGCCAGGTCCGGGACTTGAACTGCGGTTGGCTATGTGGGAGTCTAGTGCTCTTAACCATCACACCACCTACTGGTCCAATAATTCTTTAAAAAAAAAAATTATTTTATTTTGGGGCTGACAAAGAAATGCCAATGTACACTCATACAGTAGGTGGCAGGTGGCATGGTGGTTAAGGCACTGGACTCCCACATACCCAACAGCAATTCGAGTCCTGGACCTGGTGGCTTGCTTTCTCAGCCCCGACCCCTGACTTTGTCCCTGTGGTCAAATTAAAAAATAAAGTTATATACAATAATTCTTTAAAAATGATTTAATTCTATTTGTTATTATTATTTCTTAATTTGACGAGACACAGAAAAGGAAAGTGAGAAAGCAAGCCACCAGATTCAGGACTTGAACCCTGGTCGGCCATGTGGGAGTGTCCAGCGCCTTAACCACCATGCCACCTGCTAGTCCCCCGCCATAAAATAATTCTTTAAAAAAAAATGCCCTGAAGATCCCCTGTGCACACGCTTCCTCGTTAGGATGTCTCTGGGAGTGGGAAGTGCAAACGTCGCCCAGCCCTGAAGGCTGCCAGACCACTGCATAAAGTCAGCAGGTCAGAAAACGGACCCAAGGACCAGCAGTTGGCATAATGGCTATGTCGCTGAACTCCCATGTAGTGTACCATGGTTCGAGTCCCAGACCTGGTGTCTTAAACTCACACTGGGTACGTGTGCGTGTGTGCCCAAGATCCCAAGAGAAGAGATTGCCGCGTGGCCATCCCCCTGGGGGGGTGATTTCTCACTTTCTGTCTCTGTCTTTCTGTCTCTGTCTCTCTCTCTTTCTGGTGAACGTATGTGCCCTATAGCAAAAACCTCTCAAAAAAAAAAAAGGAAAAAAAGAAAACGGACCCCAGCCAGGGCGGGAAGTGGAGCAGAGGCCAAAGCGGCTGAGCTTGGGAAACGGACACGCGGGTGCACCCCAACACCCACCCCAGGGCAGCCATGGCCTGCTTGCCAAACGTCCTTCCCTCTGACTTTACCACTTCGGAATGGAAAAAAATGCCGACTCACATTCCCGCCGGCTGGCCATGGAGGTGGCGGCAGTGGCCCGAGTGTGTGCACTAGGGGAAGGCAGTCATCGCACACCAGAACAGGGCGCCCCTAGGGTGGGCCCCAGTGAGCGGTTGGGTCACACAGTGCAGTGCTGCCCTGGTTCCCTTCCCTGGATCCGGCCCAGTGGCCCTTCCCCAACCTTTCCTCGGTGGACAGCAGGCCTGAGGCAAGGGCTCCAGGCAGAGGTGCCGCTGGGGGAAGGGGCGTCCTGAGGGGTGGGCTGGGATTGCCCCACCCTCTGCCCTGCTTCTCTAAAATGAAGGGCTTTCAGTCCGCTAGCTGTATGAGTGCACATTGGCTTTTTTTTTTTTTTCCAGAATTCCACTGATTATTTTTGAAATTTGACCAGAGAGAAAGGGAAAGCGAGAAAGCAAGCTACCAGGTTCAGGACTCTTAACAGCTGCCAGCCAGGTGGGAATCCAGCACCCTTAACTACCAAGCCACCTGCCAGTCCCCACTGGCATTTCTTACGACATTTTTCTTGTGTTTCCAGAAAAATAATGAGTCTTTAATTGCACATTCCACTCACTGAGGAAGGTGAGGCTGTGGTGGGCGAAGCTCCGGCGTGCACCAAAGGCGAAGAGCAATCCCAGGGAGCTGCATGGCTGTGGCTGCCGCTCCCAAATCAAAAAAAAGGGGGCTGGGCCTGGGGCAGGGGCCTGCCCCGCCTGCAGGCACGCAGGCTGGCTTGGCGCTCAGGAGGGACTTGCAGGTGCCGATTGCAGGGCCCTGATCCCACCTCCCAGGGTGCAGTGGGGGTCTAATGCAGGGATGGGATGCATGGGTCTGTCCTTTGCAGGGATGGACCTTGCAGGGAGGGGCGGCCCCCTGGTGAGCACCAGGGCCACCTTGTGTCCCAGCCCAGGAGCCCCACACTAGACACAGTCCAGCCAGTACAGGGCTGCTCTCCTGCAGGGCTGTGCGGACACCTAATGGCGCAGTCTCTGCTGGGTCCCGGGCGGGCTGTTTTCTCCCCCCTGGTCTGGCATTGCACAAACTGGAGGGGATTAAAATCTTCGTGGACGGGACCGACAGATGGCATAATGGTTACCTTGCTGGACTCCCAATGTGGCTGACCTGGACCTGGTTCAAGTCCCGGACCTGGTGGCCTGAAATGCAACACTGGGCATGTGCATGCCCCAAATCCTGGTGGGAAACTGGAGAAAGGATTGCTGTGTGGTCATCCTCACGGGGGTGATTTCTCACTTTCTTTCTCTCCGGCAGGCGCACATGCTCTATAGCAAAAATCTCTTTAAAAACTTCCTAGGGAGGGCTGGCAGGTGGTGTGATGGTTAGGGATGCTAGTAGACTCACACATGGCAGACTGCAGTTCAAGTCCTGGACCTGGCAGCTTGCTTTCTCACTTTCCCTTTTTTTCTCTCTCTCTGTCCCTCTCTGGTCAAATTAAATCATTAAAAATATAAAAAACCTTCTCACTGCCGGGGTGAGGATTCACCTCCAGCTACACTGAACCACCTGAAGCAGGCCATCAAGAGCCTTCACTCCCTCCCAGGTCTCCTCTGAGTTGTCACTGCAGTGGTGTCCCCTAACCCTCCCTCAGAGCCTCCTGTGGAATGCCAGCCCCTGGCAGCCGAGACCCCAGCGGTGCAGGCACCTGTCCAGGCTGCAGAGCAGATTGGCGGAGGCAGCCCAGGTCTGTCTGCCCTCAGGACCCGGCCTTGCCTCAGAGCACGCTAGGCCAGCAGCTACTGGCAGGAGTTACCTGCACAAAGACAGAAAAACCACACGTGCTGGGGCTGGCAGGTGGTGTGATGTTAAGACTCTGGACTCCCACATGGCCAACCATGGTTTGAGTCCTGGACCTGGCGGCTTTGTTTCTCATTTTCCCTGTATCTGCTAACATTAGAAAATATTTAAAATAGGAGCTGGCAGGTGGCACTGGACACCCACAAGGCCGACCATGGTTCAAGTCCTGGATGTAGTGGCTTGCTTTCTCACATTCCCTCTTTCTGGTCAAATTAAAAAAAAAAATAATAAAGTCAAACAGATCATTCTTTTTTGGGGGGAGAGATTTTTTGCTATAGGGCATGTACACTTGCCAGAAAGACAGAGACAGAAAGACAGCGAGAAATCATCCCCCAGGGGGATGGTCACGCCGCAATCCCTTCTCCTCCATTCTCCTCTCGGGATCTTGGGCACGCACGCACACACGCCCGGTGTGAGTTTAAGCCACCGGGTCTGGGACTCAAACCACGGTTGATCACATGGGAGTCCAGCAACATAGCCATTACACTAACTGCTGGTCCCTTTTAAAAAAGAAAATATTGTTTTTCAATTATTTAACTTTGTTATTATTATTTTTCAATTTGACCAGAGTGACAGAGGAAGGAAAGTGACAAAGCGAGGCGCCAGATCCAGGATTCGAACTGCAGTCTGCCCTGTGGGAGTCTAGCACCTTAACCACTTGCCAGCCCCAAAATAAAATCAATCATTCTCTTTTTCTGGGAAGAACTATTTCATTTTATTAATGGCTATTATTTTTAAATTTGATGAGAGAGAGGGAGAACAGAACGTGAGAAAGCAAGCTGCCAGGTCTAGGACTCACACCAGTTGGTCATATGGGACTCCAGTGCCTTAACCACCATGCCACCTGCCAGCCCCAAATAAGTAGTTCTGAAGGGGGAGGAAATACCCACAATTGCATCTGGTATCCAGAACCTAGGAAGAACTGCAACTTAACAACGAAAAGAGAAACCAGCCAATGTTTAGGCAGTACGGGGAGCCGGATGCTGGAGTGGCAGTACAACGCAGCACTGCAAGGCTGACCCGGGAGGATCTGGGTCTGCACCAGGCCTCCCGAGTATGCCGGGCATGGGTGTGCCCACGATCTGGGGCTGGTTGGGGCTGAGCATGGATCAGTGTCAAGATCCTGTTGGGGATGTCCTCTCTTGCTAACAGAAGAAATAAAATACAGCCAGCAGGTGGCATGGCAGTTAAGGAGCTGGATCCCACACGGGCAACTCTGCAGTTCAAGTCCCAGTGGCTCGAATAACACACAAGAGGTGTGTGCGTGCCCAAAATCTTGAGAGGAGAATGGAGTTGTGTGTGGCATGGCCATCTCTATTGGGGTGTTTTTTCACTTCCCCTGTATTCCCCCCAAACACACGTGCCCTATGGCAAAAATTAGAAAGCAATAAATAAGCAGGTAAGGAACCTAAGTAGACATTCCTCCTGGGGAGGTACAGAAATGGCCCGTAACTGCGTGAAGATGCTCACCACCACCGGCTGTCAGGAAAATGCAAGTCAAAACCACGAGACGCACCTCAGACCACCAGGACGGCTAGCAATATGAAAGAGGAAGACGCCGGTGTTGAGAATGGGGGGCAAGCTTTGTTTCTGGTGAGATTGTTAATGCAGTCACTGGGAAACCACGGCGGGTCCCCACTCCCACGGTCACGCAGGTCCTGCAGGTGCGTTCTCAGGCACACGCCCAGTCACTGAATACAGCCAGCCAACGAGCCGCGGTGGGCAGGGCAGCAGTACCACACGACAGCTGGAGGGTGGCCGCCAGCGGAACATGTCCACAGAAGGGAGATGCGGATCCCATGGCAACGCGAGTAACCTTACGACACCGGGGTGCGTGGAGAACACACAGCTGCTCACAGGTCGAATGACAACCGGGGTAGGAAGCCGAGCTCAGAGCTACCCCGTGGACAGGACAGGAGGTGGGCAGGGCTGGGAGAGGAGCCCCGAGGTTGTGTGCCCTCTGTACTGGCAGGCGCCGGTCCCCAACGCTCTGTCACTGCCAGGAAGGTGTGTGAATTCTTTATTAAGGCATAGAAGGTATGGGCGCCCTGCTTCTGGGCGAAGGCAGCCGCTCCTGCAGACACGATGTTGGAGCACAAGCTCCGTCCTGGCATCACGCCCGGCTTCCCAGGACGGCTGTGGAGAGAAGCGGGTGCTCCGGGTGTCGGCCCCTCACTGGCCCAGGGGCTCCAGAAGGAAGCGGCCCTCCTCGCAGCACAGCGGCCCACAGCTGGGAATGCACAGATGCCCGCTGTCAGACCCTCCGCTACCGCTTCTCCACCTCGTGCCGACATGACCATCCGTGGGACCCCAGCAAGCAGGCTCCTCAGCAGGGGCTCTGGTCACTCCTGAGCCTCGAGCAGAGGGCCACCGTCCGGCACCGCCCTCCAGAGGGTGCTGGCCACGAGCTCCTTTCAAGGAAGGCCCAACTCCAAAGCCAACACGTTCCTCCGAGTTTGCAGGACAGTGAGCGGCCAGCAGTCCTGCTTCGCTGGTTTCACGGTCTGAGAAGGCGGCCCTCTCCACCCGGCCCCGCCCTCATCTGTTCTGAGGACAGAAGGGACGGGTGTGTCCGGGCTGGTGGCAAAGGCTGCATTTCCGGAGCTTCTTAGCTGTGGACCCCGTGTCTGTGGAACCGGCCCGAGGTCGTTTGCTTCTGGCCTCTGGTCCTGGGGTCGGGCCTCTGCCACCCGGCCAGGGCTGGACTCCGACGGTCCCTGCGGGGAGAGGCAGGGAAGGCCGAGTTCAGAACCAGCACCCGACAGCTCCCTGTCCAGGCAGGGTGCATCTACCCATCGCCTGACACCCCTCTCAAGGAAGCAAAGCTCCTGGACACTCTGTCCCACTCTCCTGGGAGAGAAGCGTGAGCGCCACTGTGCCGCCCTGAGCAGAGGCGGGAACCCGGGTAAGCATCTGGCCCGCGGGGAGTGGGTAACAGCTGCAGTCGAGGCCTTGCTCCACCTTCCACGCGAGGAAACCTGGGCTCCGGATCTTCCAGGCCCTGGGCAGGCCCCCTGGCGCTGGCCTCTCCAACTTGGGCCTGGCATGGAGCTGGGCCCTCTGGCACTGGTGGCTGGCTCCAAGCCCTCAGCCCCCTTTTTAAGGTTTTTGCCATGGGGGCCGTGTACTTGCTGAAGAGACGGGGGAAAGTGAGAAATCACCCCCTGGGGGGAGGGCCACACCACAGGTCCCTGCTCTCCTCTCAGGATTTCGTGCACACGCACCCGCGCCTGGTGTTTTTCAAGCTGCTGGGTCCGGGACTCAAGCTATGATGGGCCACGTGGGAATCCATCACTTTAGCCACCACGCCACGCTGGCCCAGTCCTCTGCTTTTTACCAGACCTTCCGGGTTCTCCGCGCCTGTGCAGCGCTGCTGCCGGGTTAGAAGCACAAGCAGCACTAACTGCCCTCCATGAACCCGAGCCCTGTACAGGCAGGCAGGTGGGGCCACACGGAAGGCCGGGTCTGCACCCCAGGGCCTCCCTGTGCACACCAGGGCACACGTGGCTGTGCCCGTGACCGGGCTGGCGGAGGCCGGGGTGAGTTACAACATGAAGGCTGTTGGCGTGCCCGTTTCCCAGGGAATGAGAACGTGACAACGGAAATGTGTGCTCAAGGCCACAGCGGGGCTGTGTGAGAGCTGCGGGACTCCGAGCACCTGTGGGCCGTTCGGTAGGTCTCAGGGTCTCATCGGCTTTTTCCGTGCACCAGAGCCGCAGGGACCGTCCAGACTGAGGGCCAGACGCTACATCAGCCGGCCGGCGGGCGCACTCTAGCCCAGGCCGTGTGACCCGGGCAGAGGCCGACGCTGATGTCCTCACAAGGTCTACAAGGGCCAGGGGAGCCGCAGGGCCGGGGAGGGGGCCTGAGCTCTGACCTGGGGCTGTCACTGTCTGACCATGACAAAGGCCACCCCTGCCTGGACACCTCCCCTCTCCCCTCTGTAATTACCAGCTGAGTGACGCACACCTGACGCAGATGCACAGCTGCCCAGTTAACAGACGCTGCCCTTTAAGCTGAATCGAAGACGGTACAGGCCACTGCCCCGCCAGTCAAGTGAGGCAGAGTGGCCCGGGCGCCCTCCCGATCCCCACTCCTCTACCCTGCCCTCGTCCTGCTGTCTCTGGTCTCCGGAGCAGAGACCACTCTGGAAGCCACAGCGGGGACCTGGAGGCCCCGCCTCGCCTCACCTGGGGCCATGTTCTCGTCCGCCCACTGGAAGAAGCCGCACTGCTGCTCTCTGGGCTTGGCGCACGTGTGGAACTGGCGCCCCTTGTTGGGCCCGTCCTTCTGCACAGTCCGTGTGACGGCGGGCTGGCTGCACAGGCAGGATGTGCCTCCACCACCACCATCCCTGGGGTGGCTAAACCCAGTTGGGTGGCTGCCTGAGGCAGGCAGGGGTCCTAGGGAGCTGCCGGGAGGTCTTGATGCCAAAGCGGGAAGCTTCGCTCCTGCTCCCGGAGGGCTGCTGTCAGCCCACAGGAAGAAGCTGCAGCCACCGCTGTTGCACTTGTAGAACTGACGGCCCTGGTTGGGGCCCTCCTTGCGGACCGTGAGGAGCACGGCCTCCTGGCCACAGTTGCAGGTCACGGAGTTGCCCTCGCCAGCTGTGGGGGGCGGGGGGAGGGCCCGGGCTAGCGCCTTCGAGGGCCCAGTCTGTCTGTGGTCAGGAGGCTGGGCGTGGGCACGCTGGCTGCTGTCCATTCTGTTCAGGGACTGGCTAGCCTGCAGGTGGCCAGAGGGCTGGCTGACTCTGGGAGGGCCCCGTGAGAACCTCAGGTCCAAGATCTCCCTCAGGGTCTCATCGCATCCCCCGATGCAGCCAACAAACTCCAAGGGCATGGTCGGGGGCAGACTGCCACGCTTGAACTTCAGTTTCAACCTGGTGAGGCCAGAGACGAGGAGCAACATTAACAGTCCGCTGTCCGCATCTTTCCTCGGTCCACAGAGGGCCCCTCCAGCTCCTATGCCCCAGGACGCCCATGCGGACACCTGTGAGGTCAAGCCCGACCCCATTCCAGCTCCCACAGGGGCACAGGGCAGGAAGCAGTGCGGAAAACCCGAGATACCAAGTAATAACCGAAATACAGACACCTTTAAAGAGCGCGTTTCCCTATACCAGTGGTTCTCAGTGTGGTGTGGCCCCAGGCCCTTCCACGGAGAGGTCAAACTGTAACGCTGCTAAGAAGCCCCATGTTTTGTCCCGTCCCTCACGTGCATGCACTGGAGGGTTCCAGAGGTGACAGAAGTCCCATGTTTTGTCCCGTCCCTCACGTGCATGCACTGGAGGGTTCCAGAGGTGACAGCACGTGCAGCGGCTCGGAGGGATGCAGACACGGGTGCGGGAGCCCGGCTGTCTGCGGAGTCAGACGTGAGCCCCGTGGAAGAGTAAAGCGCTTATTCATGCTATTACTACTTTGTTATTCAGTTCCAGAGGGCGTGTGCACTTGCCAGAGACAGAGAGAGAGGAGGGAGAGCACCCCTAGAGGTGTGGTCATATCCCGGTCCCTTCTGCTCCGTCTCTATCCCGTCGGGTGTCTGGGCACGCACGCACACGTACCCAGCATATTTTTGGGGGGAGGTTTTTTGTTTTGCTATAGGACGTGTGCGTTTGCTAGAAAGACAGAGACAGAAAGTGAGAAATCTCCCCCCAGGGGGGATGGCCACGCCATAAACATTTCTCTATTCCTGGGATCTTGGGCACGCATACACACACACCCGGCACGAGTTTAAGCCACTGAGCCCAGGACTCGAACCATGGTCGACTAATAGGAGTCCAGTGACATAGCCATGACGCCAACTGCTGGTCCCCCATCATGTTTTTTCAGGTTGCTAGAACTGTGATCTGAACCATGGCTGGCCACGGGGTAGCTGGCTCCCGTAACTATCTGGCCTTGGGGCCAGCCCCAGATACTGTTAATATCTGATTAAGGATCCATCTGGAGAGGAAAAGGGCCTTTACGGCTCGGATTCAGGATTCAGGATTCAGGATACAGGATACAGGGAAGGCCCGCCCCGGCCTGCCACAATGGGGCTGGCACATGAGACACCGCAGGGCGGATGAGGTGCGCTCACCCCGGCAGTGCTGAGGAGTGGAACCCCCGGGGCACCCAGCTCACCTGTAAACAGGGTGGGGCTGACAGACGGGACACACGCTTCCATCCCGGCTGGCCTCCAACACCGAATCGGGAAACCACACGGCTGACCGGCACTCGGGGAACCCCGTGCAGCTGAGGTAGAACCTGGGGAGACCAGGGGAACGTGGGGCACGGCCAAGGCTGTCACCTGGCCCGCACGGAGTCCTTTCTCCAGCTGCCTGACAGGACACCCGTTTTCCTGAAGGCAGTCACTGGTCTTGAACGGCTCAGGAAAAGGGGCCTCCATTTATCTCCCCCATTTCTAGAACGGGGCAGCCAGCATCGGCCAGGCTTTCGCACCACATACTGCGCTTTCTGCGTGGTGCGCCCTCACCCTTCCCTGCGTTTCTACCTCACAGTAGCCCAGGGCCATGCTAACGGTGCCCTCAGTCAGCTGGGGCGAGTCAGGACCTCGCGATAACCCAGGGCCGTGCTAATGGTGCCCTCAGTCAGCTGGGGCGAGCTGAGGTTGGTGTGGCCTGGAGACCTGCCCAGGGATGTGTGGGTAGTGCACCAGCAACCGGAACTGGACCCGCCTTTGCTCCCAAGACCTAAACCACTAGTCCCTGTCGCCATCTGCCACCCTCCAGGCATGAAGCTTTCAGGTGATGTCTAAACCTCTCTGAGAGTGCCGGGAACAAGGCAGAGGGAACACCAACCCTGAACCCCAGTTATTTAAATAGAAAACTCACAAACTCGGGAACCAGCAGTTAGCGTAATGGCTATGTCGCTGGACTCCCACGTAGTAGACTGTGGTTTGCGTCCCGGACCCAGTGGCTTAAAACTCACGCCGGGCGCGTGTGCGTGCATGCTCAAGATCCCGAGAGGAGAATAGAGGAGAATGGAGGAGAAGGGATTGCGGCGTGACCATCCCCCCTGGGAGGTGATTTCTCGCTTTCTGTCTCTATGTCTCTCTCTGTCTGGCGAGTGCACGTGCCCTATAGAGAAAACCTCTCCAAAAAAAAAAAAAGGGAAACTCACAAACTCAGCAGTGGAGGTGCTCAGACACAGCCTGGAGTGGCCAAGCCCGTGACAACTCCAGAGCTCCCTGGGGTCTCAGAGCCGCACCTGTTGGTGCCAAGTACCCGGAGAAGGCCGAGGTCAACCAACAGTATCCTCCCTCTTACATGCCAACCCGCACTAAGCATCAGTCATTGACAGCACTTAATAAGGGCTATAATGTGCCGGTGTTGGGCAAGCCCAGGGTAGCAAGGCTTTCCTGTTCGAGGGTGACCTGCCACCTGCTTCCAGGGCCGGTCCGTGGACCTTCGGTTTCTGTGAGCCAGGGTGGCCCTGTCTTCACCAAAGCTGACCAGGCCACGCAGAAGCTGGAGCAGCAATGCTGCAGCGCACGGAGGGCCGCTAGATGGAGGAAGGTAGTGAAGACCTGGGTTCAAATTCTGTCTTTACGGCTTGTGAACAAGCCCTAGGCCCTCTAACTGATCTAGTGCACTCGAAACGAGGAGGCTGGGGTTTCAGCCCGATCTGGAACCGAAGCCAGCGGAGAGGCAAACGCCTATGCTGAGTGTCGACAATGCCGCAGGCACCGTGCTGCGGCCAGCCCTCACTCTAACGTAGCTCCGTGAGGCGGACACTATGTAGCTTATCTTACGGGAGAAAGTGGGGCTTGGAGCCGTTCAATAATGTGCTCTACGTCACAGAGCTTGTGTATGGGAGAAGTGGGATTTGAACTCAAACTCATCTGGGTCTGCCCTTCCTCTTCCTCCACCACTCACACCATGAGTTTGGGGGTTTTCTACTTAAATAACTGGGGTGGGGCCAGCAGATGGCATGGTGGTTAAATGCGCTGGATTCTCACATGATTGAATATAGTTCGAGTCCTGGACGTGGTGGCTTGCTTTCTCACTTTTCCTCTCTGTCTCTCTCTGGTCAAATTTAAAAAATAATAAAAAATAAAATAAAATAAATAAATACAAGCAAATAACTGGGGCTCGGGGTTGGTGCTCTCCTCTGCCTCCCTGTGCCCAGGCACCCTCCGAGGAGTTTATGCACCACGGAGCTGTGTGTATACGCGGAGTAAACGGCGTCCTGTCCACAGGGCACAGAACTCCCTTACCGCCAGGCCTCTGCCTGGTGGAGCACTTCAGACCAGGCCCAGACCCCGCCCCGGGACCTGGCTAGCTCCCACCCCGGCCCAGGGACCATGACGTCGCCTGCCTTCAGTACACGGACATGGACTGTCAGAGAGCTGTCCGCCGACACAGCAGACGCGGGCGAGCAGGGAGGGGAGCCGGGGCACTGACCCGCCGGTCTTCTTGGTCCTGAGGACCATGTCCTTGTTGCACTGTGGGCACTTCCGGATGGGCTCGGGCATGGCCGGGTACATCTCTTCTTGCTGGACCACCTCCGCTCTTTCCCCAAAGTACTGGGACAAGGCCTCGTCCAACCTGCGGGAAGGCAGACACGCGTGGGCCGGCGTCACTGAAGGCACTGCCGGCATTCGCGGCAGCACGTGGGCCGCGGGGCTCACTGGCCGGCCTGGGCAGAGACGCACAGCAGCTCCGAACCAGCTTGGCCAGCTCCCGGGAGCCTGGCTTTCCGCTGGCCACTGGCCTGCCCTGGGCCACAGGCCGAGGACAGCGTGCGGCAGAGCCTGTCTGCGCTCCCTTCACAACGGGAGGAGGCCCCACAGGAAAACACCACTGCCACTCCTTCCACCATCTACCCCGAGTCGGAGTTGATCCCCAGGACCACCCCCACTTCAGAGGCCAACCGCAAACCCCAGGTTGTTTGACCAGTGCTTCTGGCCAGCCAGCTGTCAATGAAGGCTCTCTGGGTTTGAGTACCTTGCCAGAGCGGCTCACAGGACGCAGGGAGACACCCGACGTGCTTGCTTATTTACTCTACAGGGTGCTATGAAGGGCT